TATTACCATATAGTAATTTGTATAAAAATATGATCGACGCCAAATCTGTTCAATAATAATAAGTAGTCGTATCCTTTTGGCGGACACCATTACCCCTATAGCATACATATTTTAGAAACTTCATGTGCACCTTTTCAATAGAATTCATGGATAAAACTCTAAATAATTGCACCGTATTCTAATTTTCTTATAACGAGCACTGAAAATAACTTAATAAACATTTTGATATTGAAATTTATACAGTTTCTGATAATAAAGCTATATGTGCGATAGGCGTCACTTATAATTTCACTGATGTGGTATTTAAAGGTGAGCTGACAATCGAAATACGAGTACATGCCCAAATTTTTGAAAGTTTCACACTTTTCCAGTGCAGAATAATTTATTTTGCATGAGTAAGATAAAGATTTTACTTTCAGGGTGAAAGTTAAAATGTGGCATTTTGAGTTGTTCAAATACAAATTGTTATTGATACACCACATTTGTAAAAAAGTATTTGGTGTTGGAGGTTTGCACAACCTTGCCAGCTAGAAACAGATGTGTAAAGCTTCAGGTCGTCAACAAACATAAGCTTGTTGCATGATAATGAATTGGACAGATCATTGACGTATAGAGCAAACAATAGGGGACCCAAATGGGAACCCTGAGGTACACCACTACTTGACACGTATGTGTAGGAACTAAGTCCACTATAGAATGACTATTGAGTTCTCAAGTCTAGATAAAACTTGAGAAGATCTACGTAAGTTTTGTTAAATCCCATATATTCAGTTTTTCGTAAAAAATGTTCAATTATGTCAAGCGCTTTTGTAAAGTCAGTATACCTATATAACATCCACTTGCCCCTAATGCCTACCGTTCTCGCATAGATATTGACTTAACGTGGCCAAATTACTAATAGTTAATATCTGCTTCATAAAGCCACGCTGTTGCAATGACAGATGGTTTTTAGTTGCCGAGTATATTCGGGAATACAATATTATTTTAAAGAGCTTTGCTAAGTTTCCACCTTGCTACTAGCTAATTAACAACCTGATGAACGTAGAATTACGGGTACATTAAGAATCAAACAACAAAGGTGTTAAAAAGAGCCTCGTCGTGATTTAAATTTATTTTTGAGTTTCTTTGCAGCACCTAAAACCCCTTTTTCACTTATTGACTCGCGCGTTATATTAATAAGAATGGTATTGTTCAACTTTTTATTCTCATCACTAATAACATGATCATCTGGCGGAGAATAAATGCTTTGAAGTAAGTCAGTAAAAACATTTACCAATACGGGGTCATTACATGAATTATTTTGGTAAAATATTTCACTAGGCATACTTTGCGTTTAGTTGTTTTGGTTTGGGTGCTACCCCGTCCATTTTCTTATGGGATTTTAATCTTCAGCGGTAAGTGTTTTTCTTATACCATCGGACCACGTGCATTCATGCACGTCCTGAAGGAGTTTGTTCAATATCTGCTTCCTTTTAGTGGGAAAGCATTGCGGAGAAACACCACACAATCCTCCAGCTTTGCTTGTAGCTGTTTTGCAGCTGGGATTACCAGAAGCCATCCCTTCCACTTAGCGAAAAAACCCTGATATCAGCTGCAGCTGCAAAACAGCTAGAAACAAAACTGGACGAGTGTATGGTGATTCTCCGCAATGCCTTCCACGCTGAAGATTAAAATCCCATAAGAAAATGGACGGGGTATCACCCAAACCAAAACAACTAAACGTACTAGAGGAAGGGGTACTACTCCACAAACTGGTGTTCGGCACCGGTGGTTGAACAAATGGCGCTCACACCACAATCTCAGGAAGAATGTGACTGACATGAAACCCCTAACTTGAGAAATGAAGGTTCAGTGAGTGGCCTTGAAGAAGATATGCTCGATAGGGAAGCAGGTAACGGAGAAAAACCACATAGTTTTTTGAATGGGCGGCTCTAAGATTAATAAAGGGAAATTCAAATTACTAGTAGGTAATCAAAATAGTAAAAAAAACTTACGTGATTTTGAATGACCAAAAAGATTTGAGTCCATTAATAGGCTAGTATCACTGATAGCAAGAGGCACATGTATGTCAGACTTTGAAAATATGTTGCTGTAGAAAGTTTCAACTGCTTGGTTAGGTTCAACTATTACTAAGGTCACACATCATCTTAGTGACCGCTCTAGAGAGGGTACTAATTTTAATGTTGGGGCGCATTTTTTTCTATTCAAGGTGTTTTTTACGGCAATCTACCAACACGAGGATTCAACAATATACTTTTCTAATGTTTCTTAGAAGCTATATCTAAACTTAGAAAGCACCTTTATGGTCTACAGCTTCAGCAACATTTGCGAAAGACTCTTATAGCCACATTTCCGTATACACTGTCATTACCGCCTCCTTCGTATATCTAGGTTTCATGTCGCATGGCACAGATAGCAAATGTCCCATTTGAGAAGCGCGGCCGGTTCTGGCAGACACCAGAAAGTAGGCCCGTCGTAATAGTTTATATTCAGCGATAACGAGCGTGTCGTTAGTCGGGTATTACACGAGGGATGATTACTTATTAGAGGATCGTTACGCAAACGGCGACAGCCTGGCAAAAATGTGCTCCCAGATCAACGTTACAGGCCGACGGGACCTGATTTAATGACGTTTGCCGCCGGTAGGGAATGCTCCTAAGAGAGAGACAAGGTTTGCCAGCTACGCGTGGAATTTCAACCTGACAAAGGGTTGAGCGGCGGTTGAGAAGTGCTAGAGGAGAACATGTAAAACGTTAGTTGGGTTCACAAGACTTTTCGGCTGTTTTATGTCTCTAGATCACTGGAATATGGTGAAGTATCACAGCCGAATAGTAGTTGTTGATCTTTTTGAACAGAGTCCGCCAGATTGAAGCAGAAAAGGGAAGACTTTCTCTCTAAAGGAAAAAACAAGATTATCTGTCCCGGAATCTATAGTTGCAGTGGGAAACTGAGATTATCTGTCTGGTGCTGGGAAGCACTTTTTGAATATTATATTCATCACTTTTTACCAGTGATGGACATATTGTATACAGCATTGTCTACGTGTAGACAATTCTGTCTGTCTACATTTTCAAATTCATGTAGACAGTGTAAACAACGCAGACAATAGCAAGTAGTAGTTCAGTTATAATAGTATGCATATACGCAACGCCTGTAAAGGCGACTTTGAATAACTGAAAACAAGAATAAGAAAAATCCATTTCGATAACAAAAACCTACCGGTTTAACTTGTTTGAAGTGCTAGAACGTGAAAGATGGCGGAAGTTAACTTGCACAACTTATTTTTACATATATATACACCACTCGATCAATTTCTTCATTTTTAACGCGCACGACCATATCGCTTTCAAGTTTCACCGATGTTTGACCCTTGTGAGTAAACGTTATCGCACTTACGCTATTCTCTCTACGTTGTTTGCATTTCTCTAATCACTGCTCTCCACTAGGCCCAGAAACTGTATTCCAACAGTTCACATGTAGGAGAAGTTGCTGTTTCAGTGACGCTGCTATACTTAATACAGTTCCGATGTGGACTTTACAACGGATAGACGGCGCTTCCTTAATAGGTAATTTCAAACATCTATTGAAAGCAGTCAGTGATCTGGCTGTTTTTTACCGTTATATGAAAAGACTGCTCTGAGCTTTTTTCCATGATTCACGAGTAGATCTGCCAGATCAAGAATGTTGAACAAAAAGCCAAAAAACTGTCGCAAAATTCAAATTGAAGTAGAAAATTGGGACTCCTAGGGCCCATTTAGATCTAAACAAAAGTATTATTTCAGATCTTCTTACCAGATTTACCGAATAATCTAACTTCGAGAGTGCAAACGTTTTCAAATTCTCTGCAAAAGTATCCTTTCAAGATCAACAAGTTTCCCAATGCAAAATTCCATATTGGCCTTCTCGTGCTTCATGCGATTAAAGCTTGGCATCCTAGCATTTTTTCATGACCATACTAGAGATCTGAGCCCTAAATTATCTCAGTGTATCGAATTTCCTCCGCTCGTGAGAATGATTGACGAAAATAAGACTTTCCTTTGAAAACCTTAAGGACGACAGACATTCAATGAAAATAAAGTATCATAAATTGCATCAGTAAGCTAAAATACATAAATATATCTTTATACTCGTATATGTATATTATATAAATGTGAACGTCCCTGTGGGTCAGAAGTTAACAACCAGGGGGGCGCGCTCCCAAGGGTGCATAGAGAGATGTCAAGGGGGACGGAACGCGTTTGCATTTTAGAAAGCCAAAACAAAAAGATAAATAAACAACATTAACAAATAACATTACAACGCAATGTTCAATTGACACGCATAAAATTAGAAATTAAATATCTATTCACTTATTCTGTCAACCGCTGTTTCAAAACCCGGCGTCGTCAATCAGTTTATACAAGTTTCGACAAGTAACAACATGAAATCCGCGGGCACCCCCGCCGCGCTCCGCTTAACATTCACTTAGAAAACAATTGTGTACCTACAAGACGGGGATGAGCATCTATGTCATTCATTCCCACAAACTGGTGAAAAGTTTTACGTTTTGATGTACATGTTTTGTGAGAAATCTGTTTGAGTGTGTCAAATTACTGTATCTCACTGTTAAAAGGTAAGTTTGTGTATTTACAAACTTCAGTTACCATTTTTATTTAATTTACGAAATTGTTGATTGAGTGGATACGCATTCATAGATCGGCCATTGGGACTCTTTTACCACATCACAATTAAACCAACGTGGCGAAATAATTTTGAAACGATGAACTTTAAGTACCTAATATTGATTCCAAATGTATTTAAAATTATTATAGCGTCAACCTGCCTACAGAAAATATAAATCTCCCGGTGGCCAACATACTGTTGAATACATTACGTTATTAAGATAAAATAATGGGCATATAATTAGTAATTACATCTGGGTATTTTGCTTATTTATTTATTACTCATTTGTTTTATTGTTATAGGTGCAAAATGGCAGCGAAAAAAAAAGTTTTCCGAAGATTACGTTAAGTTTGGATTTACGTTCATAGAAAAAGACGAGTTACAATTGCCTCAGTGTGTGATATGTATGAAAGTTTTAAGTTTTAGCATGAGGCCCAAACGACTTGAAAGGCATTTGAAACAACAACATCCTGCTCTGGTTTTGAAGACGGAAGGGTTTCTTTCTTCTTAAGCAAAATCACTCAAGCGGATGAGACTGGAAGTTATCACACATGTGTATCGCAGCATCTCAAAGCTTCATTTGGAATGGCTTTTATGATAGCAAAGCAAAAGAAACCTCATACTATCGGTGAAGAATTAATAAAGCCATGTATCCTAAAAGCCACGTAGATAATTTTAGGAGGGGTCCATATCAAAGCTTCAACTTTTGAATCAAAAAGTGCCTGCTGGAAATGTTATATCTTTTTCTCGGCTGTTCAAAGCAATTAAAAATAGCATACTTGACACAAATCTAAAAGCTGAGACAAAAACTCATTTGCAAGCGCTGGAAGACGAATTTTCCCGATACTATCGAGACATCAATTCAGAGTCACCAATGTGGCACACGAAAAAATTCGTTTGTTGTCGATGTGTCACAATTACTGGAAGAAGTTCAGGACGAATTTCTAGAAACAAAGGCTGGTTCGTCCATGAAAGATGACTTCCATCCTTTAACATTGAAGAAATTTTGGATCAAAATATTGCCTGTTAATTCGACACTTGCATCTCTTGCTTTACGAATACTAGTCAACTTATTTATGTGAGACAGGCTTTTCTGCTCTAGTTTTGATTAAAACTAAACAGCAAAATCGTCTTGATGTCGATAGCGACCTGTTGATAGCTCTGGCAAAAACGAGAAGGGCTAAGTACGTCTCTGCCCGAAATCATACCGCTCCAATAGAAAATGAAATCAGCTGATGCGCTACCGAGCAGACGCAGAAACCACATTGATTGTCTTACACTTAATGGCACATCTTCTAACAAGGAAGGCAAAATGTTGCGTAAAAAGTCTAGGTATTGCATCCCGTCCAATCGATTTGGGAGAATAAATGGTCCAATGAGCATACCGTTCACCATGCCAGCCCAAACATTCACCGAAAATGTTTGTTGAAAATGTGCCCGACGGACAGCGTGCGGATTTTCTACTGACCAAACATGAGTGTTGCGAAAGTTATTCACCCCATTACGCGTGAACGTAGATTCGTCTGTCACCAATATGCACTTCAAAAAGTCCGGATTATTGTCATGTTGATGCAACAACCACTCACAAAACCGCACTCTTGCTGGAAAATCGTCAGGTTGAAGGGCTTGTACACGTTGGACGTGAAACGGATACAGCCCCTCTTCACGCAGCGTTTGCCACACTTTAGTTTTTGATACTTGCACTTCTCTAGCCACGTCTCTAGTGCTTGTTGAGGGAGTCTCGTCTACGCGATTAACTCTACACGCGTGACCGTAACCGTCGGTTGAAGGTTGCATACTGACCTGTCACACTGACCCCCCGACCCAGTTCTGTCGTCGGGTTGAGCCAGTGACCTTCGGTGATGTCGCGGGTCGCGGCTACAGGACGGTATTCAGATATTTTTGATGTTGCAGAGCCCTTTATCTCGGTTCCCTTAAGACGTTGGTGTATATGGTACTAAGAAAAATTGCTTACGTTTTCAAGATCTACACGTCGTATAAAGGAAAACCCCAACTTTGCGGACACCCTGTATAATGTGAGTTGTCTGTACTTATTGAAAAACTAAAGGGGGGCATGAAAATATAAGTTATAGTCCGGGGACACTTAACAAAAAAAAGGTTGCGAAACCCTGCCTTTAGTCTGTCAGCATCACGTCTGAGCCAGAAGACCGAGAAACTGAAAAAATTTGACAGCCAGTAACTGGTACTCATGGAATGTAATTGACTTGACTTCACCCACGAAAATATTAAGGGTGTTCAAGAAGTGTGGCTAGATCAAAGTATCTAGAAAAATAAGTTTCTTGAAAGGGACCTTGAAAGGTAATCTGATAGTCAAGACAGTTTACTTAAATGAAACCTTATTGATGCCAGAAATATAAAGCACATCTTTAACCATGACCTTTCTGGAAATTTGAGGGTGTGCATACAGACAGTAGAGACAGTACAAAATATCTCTAAAAATACTTTAAATAAAGACAAATATGTAACAAAAGATTCATCCAATGGTGACCTTGAACGTGACATTGACTATGACCTTCAAGCTCATTTGAAGGTCAGGACTACTTTTCTTCAATGGAAACCCCTATCTTTGACACCGTAAATAAAAAGAGCAGAAAACCCTATATTTAAGTATGTCCATGACCTTGACTATGCCCATCAAGTAAATTTGAAGGTCAAAGTAATTTTTAACGGGAAACATCTATTTTTGAATCCTGAAATGCATATTGCGGATATTTCTATAACTCACGTATGCCTTTTACATCCCAAAGACTCGAGTTTCCAGTTTGTCTAACTCTGCAGTGATAATCAACAAGGCGCAAGGGCAATCACTGGATGTATCAGGAATCCATTTACATTTATCATGTGTTTCACCTGGTGAATCGTAGGTTGCCTCCTCAAAGATTGAAACCCGAAAAATCTCTACAAATGAGACAACAAATACCGTTGTTTGCCAAAATACCTTAAAGTGAATCATAAATCAACGGACAACTTAACTTACGGTTGTTACATTACTCTAAGCATGCATGGTAAGATATGCCACACATGCTCTGAGATACTTCACGTTGTTTATTGTGATTACACCTTTGAAATTTATATTTCGCTGCACTGAAATGTTAGATAAAAACGCTCATTGTTAAAGTAACTGTTGCATTATTCTGAATGTGACACTCCTTTCCGACGCCAACCTCCGTCACATGCATTAGTATGTAAAACGAATGATCTATACTTTACACTACTTCCACGCGAACGGAGCCGCGGGTTTAGTATTAGATAAAAGAAAACTATATCCATTCTATTTATCTGATCCCCTCCTTTTATATATTCCCCACGTGGTAACGACATGTCGCATCAGTGGGACACTTCCTATGCATGTCCTCAACTTGATCCGTTTTCCAACTGAATTTTAACAAAGAACCAATCAATCCCGTCGGAGTCACCCCAAAAGCACTGCAGGTTCATGAGTGACATCCCGGTTTAATCTTGGGAGATAACACACCATCGTATCAGGGAGATTTGAGTAAGGTTTTCGGTGAATACTTTTTTTTATGAAATGGCATTTTAAATGGGGTCCTACGCAGATTTGCTTAAGAAAAGATAGTGGGAGTGATATTCTTATGCTTATGCACACCAGAAAAAGCGCTCTTGGGCCAAGAGTAACTATCTTGGATTGAGGGATTGAGGATCGCGACTCTGGGGCGTTTCACATAAGAACCGACTGTAACGGTGTGGTTTCAAATTTAGTAGAAATTAACATCACAGTTATTCCTAGACTTAGAAAAGACAAATTTAGTACACTTTTATAATGTATGATGATGAATAAGTTCAATTGGAGCATTTTAAAGGTTTAAACAGGGATAAGTAGTCAGGAAATGTTTCTGATTTGTTGGGCACTTTGACGGACTTAAAAGATTAAAATTCAACTCTATAACTTATTTTACTCATGTCGTTTTTCAAAGAACTTCAGCGAATCTGGGCCTCCTTCCTGGATTGAGATCTATACAGTCCCAATAAGTAGGCTGCAATTTACTCTCTCACAGTGGTCGATTCTAGTGGTAGATGGCGATTTGTGCTGTCTTGATCTGATGGATCACGCACTTTCTATAGTGGATAGCTGCTGAGCTTTCGTTCGTTGTGTGAGAGACGCCCAAGCCTAGGCAATGCTGGGGATAGAAAAAACGCACGAAACAGCTGGGGATAGCCAAAAAGCACGAAACAGCTGTCCATGATTGACTGTCTTTGATCGGATGGACGGAAGTAGAGCATGTTGATTTTATTTAGCAGATATTGGGTTATTATGGTATGATAACAGTCACCAAAAAGCATTTCAAATGTTTGAACGCACCATCGAAAGTTAGAATTTCCTGGCTAACCTCAAAACTTCAAAACTTAGTTAAATTTTTCATACAAAGGCCCACTAGTGTCCGAGTCCAAACCGGACAAGAAATGAACAGGTTAGAATGGCAAAAGAAGCTTACCTTGCCACATTGCATATACAAATATAACAGAAATCAGGACAATCAAATTCACTTAGAGCATTGCCTATTTCCTGCATTTATTTTCATCTGTGATCTGAAACTTCTTAACAAATATGTTTTCATAAATTAAAATTATTTTAATAAGGTCTACCTAGCTCTATGGCAAAAGCGCTGAATAAGGAAAAAATAACATTACGAAATATGCCCTATTCTCCGTAACTAACAGCGATTTCTTATTTCTATAACGGAGAACGGAGGATTATCTCGCAACAGCGCAAACTCGAAATATGAAAGATCGTAAATAAGTAGCGAAAGTACTCAAAATTCTGTAACGAATCGTCCATGATAAGTATAAATGACTCATCACACTAATGACTATTACATATATGATTAAATAAATTTATTAAATGCTTCCTACCAAATATCTGACACGTTTATTCTCAAATTACGCACACACATTTCCAGAGCTTCCTTTCGGGAATGATATATTAATTGAATAAAGAGATTTGCAGTTTAAATTACATTGAAAGGCACTTAAAGAACGACGAGCCGACCTCTGCCGGTGAACTGGGAAAAAAGAAGACTAGCGACGACTTTCTCTCTGATGAGAGACCTGGCGGTTATCACTGCTTGGGGACGCAACAATCTTGTACAGTTTAATGCTTCCAAAACACAGAACTGTGCCTTGATGAACAAAAAGCGTCCTAGAACTCATCCGGTTTTGATGGATAGCCGAGTTCTGCCAAAGAGCCGTTAATTTCGGCTCTCTGAGTCCAGATCACCGAGGACAAAGGGAAAAAGCTAGGCTATTTGTTTAGGTCTAGGAAGTACGAGTAGTTTACTTCGCATAACCTCTTCATTCTGTGCCAGGTCCAGATGATTACTAGCCTCGAGTACTTTTCACACGTTTGGAGTGCTGCCGCCCCGACAACACTATCTATGCTTGATGCTGTCCAGAGGAGGGCTGTCCGACTGGTCGGTGACTGGAGTCTCGGGACAGGCGGGCCGTCGGCGATCTAGCTCTCTTCTGCTGCTACACCAACGTCCTTTACTGCTCAGAGCTCTCCTTCACGATGTCGCCGTGCGATGTGCCTGCAGGACAGACCCGTCCGACTTCGGCCTCCCGTCCTAACCGTCTCGGACTACGTACATTCAGTCCTGGCCGACACGATTGCTGCTTTATCTCAAGCGCGTCGAGATTATGGATCAATCTACAAGAAGATTTTCCAGTTCTACTAACCTTATTCAGTTCAAAAATCGGATTATCAAAATTTCTTTGGTCGCGGTATCCTGGCATCTAGGCCTGCAGGGCTGCTACGGTATAAAAAAATGAGCTTTGTTTATTTTTTAAATACTAACTACCCTGGGTTGCTAATTTATCTTTAAACTAGGCACTTTATTGATCTGATTTCTGAACCGTCGTAGGCTACGGTTACTATGGATTCGAACTACAACGAAATTTTATCCTAAAGAATTCTGACTAATTCGTCCAAATAAACAGACACTCGTTTTCCAATGAGCGTGCTTACATTGGCAGCGACATGTACGTCAGAGTCTGCACAACGTCGTCAGAACCATTTGAGCATTCAAACAGATTCGATTTTTTCGTACTCGACCTGCGTCATGATGGTTGCTTACTTGGTTATTTCACCATGGACAACGATGTGTGTGTGAACTTGGAATGCAGTAATTCTGTAGATCTTGGCATTTCCTGCATAACTAAAAATCACTTTTCTTTTTATTGCAGATGTAGCTCCAGTTGCAAGTACTCTCACGTAGCACATCACCATCCCCTCCATCCCACCGCCATGACGTCATGAATATGTCGTTCACGACAGCAACGACAGCAGCAACATTTAGACCCGTTCTCTCCTCATCGGTACTGCCGTTGTTCAACGACAGTGGCGGCGGTACAGTTGGACCTAGTGGTACCATAGGTATGTATTGGAGCTCTCACCATCGGGATCACGGATACGGTAAGAGATAGAAAGTCGATTGAATGAGGGTAAAGTTGAGCATTTGCGAAAACAAGAAAAGAAATATGAAAATCGTTTTTGTTTCCTTGTAGTCCTATTTGAGGTGGGATTTCAAAAAAATTACACACTCACGTTGCCACTTTTTCTTCTTAACAAAATGGAATGATCAGAATTTCGATATGATGCTCTGTCTCCTGTCTTGAACTGTCAACCTTATTTTTTCTCACGAACGCCATATTTGTTCTTTGCAGAGGTAATTATAGCTTTTATCCTGATTTCAAAAATGTATATGCCATATATTTTAAAACTGCAATTTTATTAAAACAAAAGCAGCATCAGTAGGCCTTGAAAGTATCAGATAGTCATTTCATAATGTCATCAGCCAACCGCTCCTTCATTTTTTATGAAATGAAAACATTCCCTTAACGATTGCAATTTTTCAGTGAGGGGTGCATTGTATACATCATGTGAAATGCAATTGCAATTGTACATACCTTGATATTAATGTGAACATGGTAAACAATATATACAATAGCACATGTTAGTTCATTAAGGTCGCTTGCAGATACGCAACACCTACAGGTCATCGCTTTTCTTACTTTTTAGCGCATCCAAACATATAGCTTTTATGATTGCCAGTTCACTAATATTTTGACGTTTGCAAGTGTAAACCTAATCTCATTTATCCTATAGATTGCTAACACCATTACATACATTGGATACATGTTGTTTGCATTTACACTGTCTTTTCCTCGTCCACATCGAAACGTAGACAACTAAAATATACGCGTAAACTCCCGCCACTGCATAGATGGCAGTTTGAAACTTTCAGTGCATAAAAGGGAAATCGTCGGACAGTTGACCTCTTGTCATATTACCTAAGGGTCTTAATAGAAACATCGATAACTGTATAATCCTAAGAAACTGGTAAGAATACTTCAGAGTAAAAGCCTTGTCGATGTTGCTGGTTGTTAGCCACATATCCGTCAAATCTAAGCCTCTGCTGCATTCAAATGAGATTAAGCTGCGGCATATGGTGCTTTTGCACAGGTTTAATAGAGTGTTTAATTCTGATTGTAAATATGTATGATATGTCGTACATTGAAGTAGCCAAACCATAATTATTAAAAAAAATAATTGATAAGTAGGCCTTGCAATTACCGTGTAGTCATTTATTTCATAATACCTTTTTGATAAAAATGACGGGGTTCTGATTTCCGTAAAACAAAATTTGAACAAGGAGTACGAAATTATAAATATAACTCAAACAAAGCTTGTAATAATTACCTATTCCTCATAAGAATAACAAACGGATATAGGTCATTGGTGTATACAAATCACCGTCTATAGGTGTAACATCATTTAACAGTGGATTACATGATTATTTATCGGAAACCGTAACATTAGCATGTTAGATCAAAATAATCAAAATTCTCAAGATTATTTAAATATAATGGCTGGCCATGGTTACCTGTCGAGAGTAGAGACAGTGGAAGCTGTATGGATCATATGTTTATATTCACAGGTATAGAACTCAGCAAAATATATTCAGCAATTCAAGTTAAAATTTTCGTACTTTTCTCAAATTAATCTTGAAAGTACATCATCGAAAATTGCAAAAAACAGTGATTAATACAAAAATTTACATTGATTATGAAGAACTATGCAACAATTTTCTCACTGAAAATTGGATTGCAGTATATAATGGACCTAATATCGAAAATGCATTTGTTCTTTTCATATCGAGCATTGCAAGCCATTTTGCTGAATGCACCAAAACAGTAAATAGGCTAAAATAAAATATATTAGGGAAAAGTTCGATAATCCACAAAATTGTTCGTTCAATAAATTTAGTGCAATAAAAAAAGAAAATTATGAACTAGTGAGTAATGTCGTAGACAATTTTGTAAATATTTTTTAAAGATCGGGAAAAAGTAGACAGAAAACATGATAAACGAGGAAAAATTGTACTATAGTAGGACTAGATTATATAACTCATTGTACAAGTATCTATTGCCAACCGATACGCACGAAACAAAGACAGTAAACAGAAACTAGGATTAAGAAAATCTCCAGGCCTAGATAATACTCGTATAAAAGTATATGCTATCAAGGCAGCAGCGGTGGCCTCAGTAGTAGACTATTCGGTCTCCTGATCAGTCGCCGTGCGCTGTGCGGGTTCGAGTCCCGTGCCAGGAGACATTTTTCTCTTGGCTATGGATGTTGTGATTGTCCGTAGGTGGTAGACGGTCTCTGACTGTCGAACGCGTGGGTACCACCTGGCGGATCTCGTAGGCGGGCCAGAATGTGTGGATGCTGCATGTACACATGTTCCCTCGCCAGAGTCCGTGTGGCGTTCCCCCTTTCCCCTGTACCCCCTATAGCCCCACGGTACCCCATAGGCCTTCGTGGTGGTCGGACTATAAAAAAAATAAGATAAATTCCAACATCTGCGGCATATTGTCATATTTGATAAGTTCTTGTATGAATAAAGGAATAATCTCCACATGTTTGAAAAAAACCATTATTCAAATCTGGAGACAGAGAAAAACCCAAGTTATCTGCAAATTTTCATCTTAAGCAATTTTTCTAAAATATTTTAAAAAGTGTTAGAGAAGCGATTCACCGAATTTGCAAAAAAGTATAATTAAATATGATTTTCAAGAAGACAAATCTGCTCAAGATTCTATTGTAGAATTAACAAGTAACATAAATAAGTATCTCGATATTAGTAAACCAAATGCATCTGTTTTTGTTGACTTGGCAAAGGCACTCGAATCTATTATTCATAAATCGGTTTTAACAACTTAAAAATTTAGGTTTCCGTGGCGTAACACCCGAATTTATGGAAAATTATTTGTTAAATCGAACACAGTGCAAAATTAATAATACATTTAGTGAACCCCAAATCGTATCACACGTGCACCCTGAACTTACAGTAATAGGACCCACTGTTAATGTATTTATCAACGATTTCTTCAAAATTAGTATACAATAGAGCTATTCTCTATGAAGCCAGTGGCATATATTAAAAACGAAAATCAAATAGATTTCAAAACGTTTATAATTTTCGTTTCGAAAGGAACTATGACATTAATTAAAACTACACACTATATATAAATAAAATACTTACGAGTAGTTGGGACACTCACTTAAAATTGATTGCCCTGGTGAAGAGTCTGAGATGTATAATTCCAAAATTCATATACTTCGGAGATAATCTAGATAAGAAATGTCTGAACAATCTTTATTATGCTCTTGTTCATCTTGTACTACTTTTAGGAATCTGGGCTTTGTGGAAGTTATGAATAATAATTACAAAAAGGTTGATGTAATTGAAAGGCTAATCCTCAAATTGATGCTTCATAAGGAGCTTACTTATCCAAGTCATTCTGTATATATGGAGGCTCGAATATTAGATTGGACATTTATTTTTATAGCAGTCTAGTATATTACATTATATTAAACATTCGAAACACTTGAATCGTATCATTCATAACTACAGAACACGATTCAATGAGTATTTCTCAAACATCACAAACCATTACACAACAATCTCTTTCTTTTTTGGGACCAAAATTCTATAACTTCATACCAGAGTCTTCAAAAGCAGTTAAATTGATTAGATCATTTAAAAAAGAACTCAAGAAATGGATTTTACAACAACCAAAATGCTCTACCCACGAAATTGTAGATATGAAAAACTATCATCTAAAACAATAATATTTTACTTACACTAACATCCATACCTTTACTTTAGTTACAATTGCCTGGATATTTTTCCTGACATCCCCGTAATTATAGTAATTCAGTTCACCAAATTATATAATATTTCCATTTTCAGTAATTAATTGTACTTTTAGTTTTAGTAGCACTTTTTTGGGTACTTTATGTTTGTTGTGCACGATATTTAGGATTTATCTGTACTTTGTAACAATAAACATTATATTATTGTTATCATCTGACAAGCATTCCTTTAAATCTAATGAATTAGGCACTATTTCCGGTTTCAAAGATGTTATATTTTACATATGATGACATGTGTTGACATCATAATAATAAATGTTGGTCTTATCCAATAAAGAACAATGTAATGTTTAAACTTTTTTGTATTAAGTAACTGATGGAAATATTTTAGAGTAAGGAAAGCTTCGACGATGTAGCAGCTCCGTAACCATACTTGGTATTTGCCATATCTAAACCGGTGTACACAACTTGCATTCAATCACAATTAATTTACGGCTGGAGTGGCATGTTATTTGTTGTAGTCAATAAGCGGGTAAATTATGTGAATGTCCTTTCATCACGTTTCTCAAACAATGAAGCATTGGCGATTTAATCGTATAAAGATGTGACGAAATGACATTTTCAAAGCCAACTATGAGAATATTAGCTTTTTTGGAATAACACTTGTTTGACAAAGTCAATATGTGACATATCATACCTTTTTTAAAATCCGAATCAAAAACTCTATTCACCTATGAGAAAATCGATAATAAAATGTATAGCAATTTTTTTGCAAACGACTTCTGATTAGTTTTTAGCGACTCAAGATACGTGAAACTCAGCCGCAATTAAAGCATTTCAATGTTCAATTACCATGTATAGGAGTATTGTTTTTTGTGATTAATTGTTGGCTCTAAAAAGGCGATTTATTGTTGTAGCATAGCTAATCGTACCGAACAAATTATAATCCCATCATTTCCTTCTAAAATTACTTGTTGGCACTGAGAAGTGCCGATTGTTCAGAAGATTTTTCTTAAGCTTTCTTCTCCGTCTTTTTCGGCAAAAGAACAGCCTGGATATTAGAAAGAAAGTTGATGATTGAGGATAAGAGATGAACC